CAGTACTTAAATCTGTATTTCTATACAGTTATCAAAGAAACAGTAATATACTGCATTTCTATGCGTTTATGAGCCTATATCTTATGGGTATTGTTGTTTCTTTGTTTTATTGTTTGCTTGAAAAGCAGAAGTTTGAAATCCCTAATCGTTTCCAGAAAAATTCATAAAAGTTTTTAAGTTTCACTTATGAAACTGATTGGTTTATATAACTATCAAAAGAAAACACTGAAACTCATCGTTTGAAAAAAATAAAATATACAGAATTATATGTCGGCTTGGATACATAACGAAAATATCTTACTCCAAAACTTCCTTAAAATATGTTGATTTTTCGTTCTGTTAGATAACTGCCAATCTAGTAGCTTACTTCGAATACCACAGGTAAAGTTTCTAGGAACCTTGGACACCCTGCGAAGTAGACAGCTGCTTCTCAGAAGTTCTTGAGACTAGCACTACCTGTTATTTAAGCAAATTTAAAAGTAAGTGCTTGTATGGTATCGAAATGCATTATTCAGTGGTCAGTTAATGTACTGATTGAGTTTACAAATGTAGAATTGTTGAATTCTTCGTTACTGAGAGGATCAAGCACAGACCCAATATAAAGAAAAACTTACTCATCACTGGAATCGAGGAGATGAAATGACTTCGGTTGGTGAAAGCCTCCTGGAAGGTCCCTGAACGATCCTGCGTGGAAGAACATTGGACTTCTTTGAAAGTTTTGTGGAAAGAAACCTACATAGCTGTGCAGTGTATGGATGAACAACGTAATGAGGAACCGAACACAATCCATAAAACACCACACTGGACAAAGAAGTAAAGAAGAGTGTGCGGAAAGACAAAAGACACCTCAGCGACACACTGGCAAGTGAAGCAGAACGGGCTGCAGGTAAGAGAGATCTGATAACATCATATCAAATAACCAGGTTACTTGCTGTCTGTGAAGAGATCAACACAGATGAGATCAATAAAAGATGATGAAGGAAATCTAATTACCAAAGAAGAGAAACAATGGAAACGATGGGCTGATCACTTCAAAAAACTCTTGAATCGAACACCACCAGCCGCAACTAGTTCAGAAATACCACCAGCTACCCAGTCACAGAACTACAAATCCTCCGACGAAAGTCGAAGTCCTGAACGCCATCAGGCTACTGAAATGCGAGAAAGCTGCAGGACCAGATGGATTCCGCCAGAAGCACTGAGAGCAGATACAGAGATAACAGCGGACATGTTCACACCACTATTGCAGAAGGATTGAAAGGAAGGAAGGAAGGAAAGGTGCCTGCCGTCTGATGGGAAGAAGGGATACCTTGTCAAACTTCCGGAGAAGGGAGGCCTCAGTGTTTGCAAGAACTGGTGCGAAATCATGCTCATCTACATCCGAATCAAAATATTAGGCCGCATCATCCTGGAGAGACTAAAGGATCAACAGGATTGAAAACTACGACCTGAACAGACTGGCTGGCTGTCTGGCTTCGGAAAGTACAAATCATGTAGGGATCTAATTGCAGCGCTGCGTCACGCATCATCATAGAACAGAGTATAGAATGGTAGTCAACTCAACTCAACTCAACCTCAACTTCATCTACTGTCAAAGGGCCTTCGACAGTGTCGATCGAGAAGTAGGTTGAAAGACAGCTGCTTCAAAACTACGGTTTTATTGCCACAAACATTTATCAACCTCATTCAACAGCTATGTGCCATATGATGCTACCTACCAAGGGATTCACAATAGATAGCTGAGTGACGCCTATGAAGTGAAGACAGGAGTAAGACGAGGTTGTCGCCTACTACCACCGATGATCTTCTTGATTGTGTTCGACTAGACTGGATCATGCAACAAACAGTGAGGAGAGAGAAGATGAGGAAACACTGGACCGCGGAAAAGAACCGAGAAGATTTGGATTTCGCCGACAATGATTTATGTCTAATGTCTTGTCGCACAAACTTGAAGATCTGCAGGCGAAAACTTCCAAGTTGACAGAAGAGGCAGGGTAGCAAGGACGGGAGTTCCTTCAGGTGAACGTAGAGAAGACAGAGGTGATGCGGATGCGCAACCAACAACAACACCAGTCACCAATGACCATCAACGGGAAACCTAATTGAAGTATTCTCTTTCAACTACCTAGCTACCTACCTACCTACCCATGGGTGCATCGTTTCAACTAAAGTTGGCGGCACAGACCAGTATGTCAAAGTCAGCTTCGGAAAAGCAGAACAGGTCTCAATTAATCTGAAACCAGTGTGGAGATATACTGCACCGCACTGCCCTGCACTACACTGAGCATAAAGATTGAACAAGATCCGGATTTCCAACAGTAATTCAGTCAAGTAAGTCAGTGCTTCTATGTGATGGTTCAGAAACTTGGCGTGTCACGAAAAGCATTTCCAAGAAACCACAGACATTCATCATCTGCTGCTGCCTATGCTCGCTCGATACTGAAGATCGGATAGGCAGAAAGAATAAGCAACAAGGAACGCTGGCCGGGCAATGGACCAACCAACTAAGAACCTATCGCCCAAGGAATATACAGAAGAAAGTGGAAATGTATCAGGCATACACTGAGAAGACCGAATGGGGACATCATGCGTCAGATCAGGCCAAGCCCTCGAGTGAAATCCAAAGGGGAAACGACGAGTTAGGCGTTCCAGCTGAGAGTGACATGGAGGAGATTATGTGAGGAAGAAATGAAAGCTTGTGGGTAGTGGTGGAGGGAGGTTCAGAAGACTGCAGAGGAGATAGTGCAATGGCGACGAGCTACTGAAGCCCTATGTTCTTCTAGGTACCCAAAAGACAAATAGTAATATTTCGGAATCGTAAGATGTTTGCGATTAGCCATGTTTATTTCTGGACTGTGAGGAAGATTCCTGGCTGTTGAAAAACTATTGCTTCATGTATTATGGTGATTTTTGAGGGGAACTGTCGTGCAATCTTGATTAAGAAGCAACTTTGGATATTTGAAGCTTAATAATTGTTAGTGATTAAATTTTGAAGGTTTGTGAGATTTATTTTTGAATTGAAATTTGTTACTCATCACTAATTGACATCATTAAGAGAAGCACTTAAAACTGTGAGCACTTGACGGTTGTTCCGTTTTAGTATAGGATGCCTTAGCAGTGCGCACGTATGACCCGCTCGAGACCGAACCAATTGTGTCGCCACTGAGCTTTTTGCATTAGATTCCGCCAACTCACATTTTCCTACTTCTCTTAGTTTCCAATATGGCGTGAACTTCATCTAGTTTCCTCACGTCCGACTTGGCTCTTCCCACCGGTCACGGTTTCTCATGAGAACTTCAGGAAATCTCATCTCAAAGCAAGCAGTATTAGGAGTATGAAAATGTTAACCATTTGAATCTTGGCCACTGTCTCACTGGTAACGTGTTCTCCACGAAACTTTAAGTTCCGTGGTACGGACAGCTAAGATGTCCTACACCAGGACAAATAAGCTGTCCATTTGTCACAGGCTTTCAATGATTCACCAGCAGATGTCAGTTTGTAATCAATACCGGCCTGAAATTATCAATGAGTCGATTCACTCTTCTGCCACAGAACAACATTCGACCTTATTTGACATGATGATAAAAGAATAAGCATAACTGCTCACACAAGCATGTACATTTGGGAAAACAGACCTCTATTTAGTACATCAATGAATATTATTCTTTTGTGATAATAACTGAATATAAATCATTATGACTCCATAGTACTGTTTTGTGATATCTTTTTAAAATCGTAAAATGTTTTTTACACGCAGTTAGCATACACTTTCTTATGCAATAGAATACATAAGTTTCTGTGTTTACTTCTGTAGAGAATGGCAGAATTAGTAAGAGTGAACTTTGACTAGTTAAGTATCAATATTTATAAGAAAAAATTACAGATAATACATTCTGAATTTATAATAAATAAAAAAGTATTACCTCTGAACAATCACCACCACTTGAAAAACTGCTACAAACTAGAAAGTCATGACAAAAAATCTCCTAATCTTCAATGCCTTCTACAGCAGAACTAATATCACACTAGTGTTCTAAATGTAATATATTTATGGACCATAACCAGCAGTCAATAACATAAAGTTCAGAGAATGACTGAAAAATGTATTGATTACAAAAGAAATGAATGTTTAAGTGGAGGTATTCTTTAAGTAAAAATTATTTGTTACAAGGATTTCTTTTGGCAAACCACACTGAAAGATTTCTATAGGGTTCATATACCTCAGGAAAAGTGATTACTCATCATAGATAACGTTGATTTCTTTCCAGAGTAAAAGGACGTTACCCAGGTGATAAGATGCCGGTCAAAGGATCACTAGGCTTTCGTTTTCGAGGAATAACGACTTTTCGGTTACATTTTGTGAAAAACTATCTTCCTTGCTGAAACCAAAATCTGGTTGATTTTTTCACCAGTTGGTAGGACGGATAACTTTAACAAGTGTTTCAGAAGTTCAAAACTATCAATATAAGTGACTTTAAGGGCCACCCTAGCAACTGTAAGACAACCGATTATTTTTTTCTATAGAAAAACTTACTTTAGTACCGAAATAAAGTTGCACGACTGATTATTTTAGTTGGTGCTAGGATGGTCTTGAGGATCACTACTCTTGTTACGGCCCATATTGCAATCACGTTTTTCCTAAAACGTAGTCGGAACTAGTTTATGAAGGTCAGGTTTCTCTAATATTTTCCACTAAGTTGCTAGACTTTTATTCTAAGTTAACCAGGTTTGGATATTACAACTCAAATGTAATCATGTTAATCATAAACTTCCATACCTAGCCAGCATGCTTACAGAAATTGAAATGTGAGTACTATTTGGATCGCTCATAGTTTACAAAGAAAATGTTGATAAGATTTCGGAAAACCGCTGCAGTCTGACAGTATGAAAAGTTTTCATTCTGTGTTATATTACTATAGGTTTCCGAATCTGATAAGTAGTCTGTTGCTTTTTTATTTTAGAAGAAGAGAGAAACGTACTAGACAAAATGCTTCACTAGAATGCTTATCTACAGGATCGTGCTTGTCTTTTTGCTAAATTCTAACGGAATCTTTTCTCTCGATCTGCCTGAGGAAAAACCAGTACAAAAGACAGAAAACTTGGCCATAGGTGAGTCGATTTGCATTAGAAATTCTTTCGAAAACAATATCACGAATTTCCTAAAATCAGATCTTGGAAAGATTTTTATATAATTATTTCTTCATCCACCAAGGACGTCAACAAATTACTAATTACCTGAAGTAGTAATTACAATTTAAAGTACAACTTACTTTCTCTCTGCTGTAATGTTCTACAAATCGGATGCATGGAAAATTTATTGAATTGATTTACAAGCCATCCACACTTTTGCATATTTTAGTTTTTCGAAAAAGTTTCATTACCTAAAATACAACCAAATTTAGTGGAATGCGTAAATAACTACCGATCATCAGAACTTCTTAATATTTGTGAATTACTATAATGAACTATAGCATAAGTCAAAGTTTAGGTAGGTAGTTTCAAACCACTCACTTTTTATAGACAATAATCAAAGGGGAAAAATAGTCACCGTTTACTCCCAATATTGATTTGTTTTCAGTGAGAAGTTTAAAAAATGAAATGATATTAAATGGATTACCGGAAGCGGTCAATACCTAATAAAGTTCTACCCAGCTTTTTGAATACTATTTAGATTACTACAATCAGATAGCTGTTTCGCATGAAGAAAACATTGCAGATTATGGCCTAAACTTTAGAAAATATTATAGTATCACGTTTCTGTTGGATCCAAATGAGAAAAGATCACTGAAAGAAGCTTTAATCCAGTGTAATTTCACTTTCAGCAGGCAGCAGGACTAAGTAAAGAGCCTACAAAAGAATACTGTATAATAATAGCATGATGATTTCTTGCCTGAAGTAAACATAGAAAACTAATTCATTCCACTACCTTGAATTAAAGGAAAACTGAACACAGACTCAAGTCTCACATACTGAGATGATAATTCATCAACAAGACATTGTTTGGTAGTGTCATGGTAGCTGCAGATGTATTAGGTGTTTTTTTGAAAATAATTACCTCATAAGAATGATTTTGACAATATTGCTGTGTTATAAATAATTCCAGTTGTGCAATCAGTAATTTCTAAACATTCTACCAATCAACGTGCAGCTGCACTGCAATACGTTACAATAAAGTTACTTCTTGATAGTAGAATGAAATAAATGACAAATGAAAGATGACAATTTAGTTTGCTAGAGACGAATTTAACATTTATTTTCAAATTTTAACCTATTCCTTCTTTACAACAAAGTAATGACCGACATGCTAAAGAGTGGAGATGAGCTATTTACTTCCATTTTTACCAACAAATTCCTAATTTAATGGAATCCACGGAACAAACTTAAAATATTTTTCTTACAAATAATTAGGTTTGAAGTTAATGTTTACGAATCTATGTAGATATCTGGTACTTATTTTTTAAACTAATATTTGATTTTCATATAGTTAACTACTTGAAAACATAGTTTTTGGAGGATACTTACAACCATTAGTCACATTAGATCGTTACATTGCTGTTTTGCGTAAAATTCCGGTCGCTGAGCATTCACAGTGTATTGCAATTGAAGTTGAGTAGTCAAAAGAAAACATCTTAATCATGTTTTATATTTCATTTTCGTTATTAGCCCAGTATCTTGTACAATCTCAAGAAAAAATGTTAATTCAACCTCTAATGGATCCATTGTATCAGTGATGGAGCACGTCTTTCAGAACTGCTCGCAATGTTTGTTAATTGAATGCAATATTTGAAAACTTATATAAAGCAAAGTGTCCTAGTAACTACTAACAACTGTAAAACTGAGCTTGTTTTCTGGTCATACTTCCGCATATCCAATACTTTGTGTTACTCATCACATGTTTATATATATATATATATATATATATATATATATATATATATATATATATATAATGCCAGTTATTTTTAGCACAGGGTGTGGACATTTACGGTTAGTTAAGTTTTTTGTTGGTAATTTTTCTGTTTCATGTTTCGTCGTCACCACTGCATCAAAGGTCCACAAGAGAGGGGAATGACTGGTTTTGGCTGAGTTTAACTTGATCCACCATTTGAGGAGTGAGTGGGTGCATATTTGACCTGACTGATCGGCTGTATCTAGTTTTCCCACAGGTGTGTAAACAAGTTACTGGGAACAACTCACTGCAGATACCTTATTGTAGTAAGGTCAAATATGGTTTGCTGAACTTTGATGACAGGGTACCGGGTTAAATAGCTGATGAGTTCTTTATATCTATGATATCAAAGTAAATCTATCATTTTACCCTTCTTTATCACTTGATGTCGATGTGTTCTTTATACTGAAATGCAGTAAATTTCATCAAAGATTTTTACACTAATTTCATCAGTTTTCAGCTATTGAAAAAGAAAATGAGCATATGAAACAGGGACATTTGGGTCATGTTATGTCAGCAGAAAGATTTCAGTTTTCATCCTGAAGATAAATTATCGTTTGTGTAGTTTTTTAATTTAAAGTAGAATAATAGCTAGTCAGTTAGCTATCAACAAATATACAAATCGGAAGTAACTGAGCTGAAAAACGGAATCACTACTTTGTAACTTTTGAAATAACTTTGACTTTCTGTCTTATTGTCTGCCAGCTTATTACGCTTTTGTGATAAAATATGAACATAATGTCATAAAACACTGGGCATGGTTAACGGAGTTCATAAATAAGCAGTTTATTACGTTTAAGCCCTCATGATGCATCCCATCAGTTTACTTAAATCACTTATCATTCGTAGTTAACTAGAAGTGACGTTTGATCGGTCAGGTTTTTTCAACTCGTTTCATCCATTTGATTTCTTTTTGAAATATTGATGCCATACGAAACTATGTGAACGTATCAAAAATTATTCATTACTTAATGGGTTACCGAAAATCTGTGTAGGTATATGTGTATCAGAAAAGATTTCCATTGAGACATTCAAAAACACAAATGTTATTCAGCGAGGGAAATTTTATTCCCGACAAATCATTTTTAGCAGCTGTACAATCGTATTTGGTGTAAAGGGAAATAAATAGATTAGTCTGTTATTCGCTAGTAGGTCAACACATCAATAATAATTCTAATCAATAATTGGAGTACAGCATTGTGAAGCGGAAATTTGGGAACCACTTCAACACTGCGGTTTTATTGCCACAAACATTTATCAACTTCATTCAACAGCTATGTGCCATATGATGCTACCTACCAAGGGATTCACAATAGATAGCTGAGTGACGCCTATGAAGTGAAGACAGGAGTAAGACGAGGTTGTCGCCTACTACCACCGATGATCTTATTGATTGAGGTCGACCGGACTGGACTAGATCATTCAACAAACAACTGTGAGGCTTTAGAAGATGGGCAAATGGAGGCTGGGCCGGTGAAAAGACCCCAGAAGAAGATTTGGATTTTGGTGATGATGATTTCTGTCTAACGTCACACAGGCTTAAAGATCTGCAGGCGAAACTAACAAGTTGACAGAAGAGGCAGAGTAACAAGGACGGCATCTTTTAGTTGCATAGAATACTAATCTGTTACTTTCGTTAAGGTATCATAGTATGTAAAGTCTACCGTTATTTATCTAGCATAAGCTGCAAGTATGACTTTCGTTAATTTGAATGGAAGTTGTTATTACCAAAGACAGTGTTTAAAACTAGTCAGGAAGTTGTACACGAAATAATTTAAATTATGTTGTTTTTCAAAAGATAACCAAAGGAACTTAGAATGTCACTGCAGAGGTCAGTGAAACTAGTTCTATACAGAATAAAATGTGAATCATCAAATTAGAGGTGATTTTCAGAGTTGAAGAATTTGTAATCCATCTCAAAGTTTGATTAGCATGAAAATACTTTGAAGTGAACTATGAATATTGGCACGGAAAATGAATCTTCATTTTCAGTCCCTACTCAGATTCTAGGAATCACAATAATCTGAAACAAAAATCTAAACGCATTGATTTCATTTTTCAGCACATTTATGACTCTCTTCTAAATGATCAGGAACAACAATGCTGCAAGCATATTTTATGTATCCACGGAACAATTTACTGATATTTCTGTCTTTTCTTGAGGATGTCTCAGGATTTACACCTTTCCTTACGGTCATCTGTTAAAAACATCTCCTTAAACATTTTGTTTCAGAGTATTTTGGAGGCTGAATGACATCATTTTCGACGACAGTCTGCACAGACCATTTCGTTTCAAACCCAATTTTTCCTTTTGAATACCACGTACCCGTTCACACAGTCACCTTTTGAATTTTTATGGTTGATCTGAAGTCCAGCAAAATTTTACTTGTACATAAATGTCTACGGCTAGTATGTTGTTACTTAAACAAATTTAAGTAGCATGAATTGTATCTTAAATATTTAACTTGCCAGGTAGAATCAAGCGATCGGAACTAACCATCAATTGAATTACTATACTTAATATGAAAAATAATGAGTAGGTTTTAATTAAAACATTCATTTCTGCTACTCAGAATTGAAGAGAATAAAGACTTAATTTTTTAAATGAAGGTTGGTTGTTATTGTATCTTACCACTTGTAATTTCCCGTTGTTATACTTGATCGATAACTAGTGGTATATAACCTGCCATGGAGACGCCTTGATACGTCCTGATTATTGATAACTTGCTTGGTGGCACGCAGTTTAATATCGAGCATGCGCTTCGACTTACTTGAATGTTCGTCAACTGAATTTGCTGGCATTCAAGTGGGTGATGTCTTTCTCACTGAGTCTTAGATTCCGCATAATCCACCTCAACCACCGAACCAAAGACTCCTATGCCACTAAGACAACAAGGTCGCCTCTTGCCAACATAGGTCGACTGACTCGACTCAGTGCAAAACCTGGAGGTTATTGATATCAACAAACAATAATAACTAGTATTCCTTGCACACTGACCTGGACGACAGCGTTTTGGCATTCGAATATCTGGGTGCTGAGTTCCACTTTCGTTTGGAACATCATTAACTACTGATTTACAGGTAAATCCAGCTGACAGTCCCCAAGCTAGATAAAGAGAACTTCCTGGGTTCCATTTACAGCCACCACTAAGTAAATTAT